ATAATGCATTTGTAAATGAGTTATTAGTCATTTATGAACACCTTTATAAACCCTTTACAAAGGGAAACTTAATGTAAGTGTTGCCAAAAAATGCTCTAATCCATGTATGAAACAGGCTACCTCTTTTAATGCTCAGATGCAAAGTAAACCACCTTTTCTTTATGGCAAGAACAATATAACGTATGATTCAGTGATATAAATAATACTGTAAAAATAAAAAATACGGTGTACTACTGTGTAGCAGTGGCGTTCCGTCCATATAAGCTGCGAATGCTCCGCATACCCAGGCCATTTGAGAGAATAAGTTTATGGGATAATTCATATAAACATGATTATAAGTTGATCCCTTGTCATTTGAAATTTAACTTAAAGCTTAAAGAGTTAGTAATAAGTACGTAAAAAAATTATTATTATTTTTTTTGCCAAACGGCAGTCATTTTCTGTAAATCTACGTCAGTTATGGTTGCTTCCGGGTGAGCGGATTCTCCGCAGCTTTCTCGCCTCTTCTCTGTTGCTATGACTCGTCAGGATTATAGCGCGTTCTCAGTGATTTGCTGGTCTGTGGCAGATTTAATGTGCGAGGTAAGTTGTTTGCGAAGCACTCGCCCAAGCGGGAAAATGCGCCGTTGCTGCCAGATCTCAATTTTCCGAAAATTACATTGTGTTTGATGCAAAACCAACTCGACTAAATCAAAAGAAAACAAACACTGTATATTTTTATTTTCTCAAGCAAAGCAAATTTTAAAAGTCCACTGAACAACTTACATTTTTGGTCATAGACAACGTATGTTGAAGATATACGTTATTGTCAATGTTATTGCCTAAGCGGTAAAAAAAAAAAAAAAATGTATAAAAATGGGGGCGCTATAAAATTTTAATAATAACAAACATATTGTTTTGCGTATGCTCGTGTTGCTTACAGTTGAAGTCCTTCTCTGATTTTATTATTGTTTGCAAGGTTGCAGCATTACTTATAAATGCAATATTTTAAATACTTTTGGGTATTTTGCATGGTCTGTTATGTCACCTGGGTGGGAGTTTTAACTCCTATTCACTGTGAATAAAAAATTATTTAGCTGATGCAGAGAGACATATAGACCGGGGGAATCCCCCCCATCTCCCCACGATCTGATTACGTATCATAACGTAACTACTAGGGATGTAGCGATTACCGGTTTGACGATAAATCATGATAAAATTCCCCACGGTTAGTATTACCATTTCATATTAGATTACCGCAATTTGAACAACTCACGATAAATAAATACTGTCCAGCATAAAGCACAGTTTTAAGTAACAGTCTCACGTGCGCACAGCATGCAGAGTAGTTTCGTTTTGAGTGAAAACGGCGGAAAAGCTGGGAGGTTTTTATTTACATACAGCCTGTGTGCAGTTTCTGTCTGGCCAAAAATGAACAGAATTTGCATGCTCTGCTGTCAATTTTGACCGGTTGATGAAAAACAAGCTTATGTGGATTCTACACATTTAAACAATTCAGATAAGTTATCTAGAATTATTGATGGAGCAGATAAAATACATATAATCATTTATTAATCAATTATCATTTTGACTTATATATTTTCTTTATTTAAAGACTGAAATGTCAGGTCTACCTTTTTATGAAACTTTTTCAAAGCTTTATTTGAACATCTACATTAGATATTTCAACATGCTATTAAACTGTTGTCAGTCAAGTTGTCATTTAAAATCCGAACATCATTGGTAATGTTATTGTTTTAGTGATTATGCAAACAAAAAGTCATTTTATTTGTTGTTTGTTGATTTTTAAATATAAAATTTGGTGAAGTGATTTATGTGTCGGTACTTTTTTAACATCTCCAGCACATTTGAACAAAACCGTGATCATACTGATAACCGTGATCATTTTGGTCACTATAATCGTGATAAGAAATTTTCATATCGTTACATCCCTAGTAACTACGTGTAAACCTTATTTGGCGGTTTTTACTTGGAAAACCAGCTATATTTTTTTTATGTGTGTGTCTATAAAACATTTTTTGTAGATATAAAATGTTTAGTGTTATAAAAATGTAATGCAATTTGTAAAAATATTACTCTATATTCTAAAAATGTAATATACTAAAAATAATTATTTCTCTCTCTCTCTCTCTATTCTTTATTATATTCTACATTCTGTAGTTATTTCATTACATTTCTGTAATTAAATAATGTAATTTTTTAATAATTATAATAATAAAAAATATAACTAATATTAATATTAGTAATATTACTAATATGTGTGTGTGTGTATATATAATTATATTATATATTAATAATTATAATAATGTATATATTTCTATTATGTATTGCTTGAATTATACATATAATGTTTTGTATTTTATAAAAATGTAGTACACAAAAATATTGCTATGTATATTTTATTTTAACATATATATATATATATAATGTTTGTTTTACTATTATATTTTATTATTGTGTTTTATCTCAAATAATTTTTTACAATTTATATATAGGTATATTTAATTAATTGCAAATAATTCATTTTATTTATTTATTTATTTTTATTAATACATTTCATCCTGACAGAGTCTGCCAATTTAGGATATTCTGCCAAACTGAAATTCATGTGATTCAAGGATGAGTGCATTTTTGGGTGAACAATCCCTTTAATTGTGCAAGAGAGAGTTAGTGAATCTCTAAATTTTCAAGTCATTTTCACCACATCTTGTACACAGCGTTCAATATTCAATTGTATTAAAAACACAGCTGCAAATCACCGTTAACGCTTTTATCAGCTCGCTTTTAAGACAGTCAGACATCTTTTCTTATTACATTAGTGCCATTTTGGTTTCCCCTGAATGGGAGGCACGCTAAATGAAAGTTACTCTAATCAGAAGCCAGATTGTATTGCCGTGCCCTCGGCGGCGAGGGTTTTATGACTGACTGTGGACCCGTGAAGAGCCGAGGGACGTTAGTTTATCTTTGTTGGTAGTTTTGATAGAGTGCTTGCTCAGCACGGAGGGCATTAGTCTCATTATTGTGCCTCTGCTATCAGGAGATGAGACTTCAGCGTTACTGCAGGAAAACACAATATTCAGATCCCTCGCAGCGGGACCTTATTTACCACCACAAAAGATGGTTTCGGCGTCGATAAAACAACACAGACGTGTGATTTTTATGATGTCTTGTTGATCTAGGTGAACTGTTGTTAAAAGTGCTGTAGCTATTTTCATCGTCTAGCATTAGAAAACTTAGAAAGCGTGTTGCATTTGCCAGCAACTGGGCGGATGTGAGTGCGTTTCCCCTGCTCATTTCTCTGTGTGCCAAGGGTAATTAGACTGTTGTGTCTAAGTGTGTGTCTCTCTCTCTTTGCATGTCAGTAATGCTCCACACACACACACACACACACAATCTCTAGTCAATGCAGCACAGTTAGTCTCGGTGCTGCGGCCGTGCCGATGTGCCGATCCGACCTGCAGCTGTGGCACTTACAAGCACCCTAGTGCTAGATAAAACATTCAGTCCCAGCCAGTTTGTCACTTGATGGCTGAGTCCTCATGTACAATGTTAACTATAACTAAAAGCAGCAACGCTACTAACTTAACTACATTTTTCAGTAGCATGACTGCGGCTCATGTGTTTTCAAAACAATGCAACATTTCCAGTACTTTTTCCAATGAGAACTGTTTTAAAAAATGATTCTGTTTTGTAGCAAAATATTTGTATGTATTTGTATGTTTAACTCAGTTATATAAATGAATGTATTTAACAGACATGTTTATCACATTTATCATATTTATTTATAGGCTACATAAGTACATAATATTATTTAACATATATAATGTTATTTATTATTATTATTAATTATAAATAATAAAAATATAAAATGATAGAACTATAGATAGATAGAAAGTTAAAAGTTATGAATAAATATATAAATACATTTTAATAAAGTGGGCAAATATTACAAATAGTATTTTTGTAATGATATTTAAATAATATATATCAAATTGACACACACATACACATTATGTGTGTTATTTATTTTATTATGATTTTTCATTAATTATAAATAGTAATAATAATAAAATGTATACAATATGTATAGTAATTAATTATATTATTATATTATTTATATTTAGAGGCTTTGAGTAAATATATAAATAAATATTATTTTTGTAATCATTTTTAAATAACACTTTATTATGATTATTCATTGTTAAATATAAATAACATTTATATAATAATGTTACATATAATTATTTATTTATATTTAGATGTGTATATAAGGTAAATATATCCAAGTAATATTAATAAATAAAATCTACAAATGTATATATAATTCTATATTTATTATTATTATTGCTATTATTATTAATCATACTATCATTTATAATAATTTATATTTTAAGAAGAAGAATAAGAAGAAAAGGCCAATAAATCAGAAAATGTACACATAAATAACATTTGATTGATTGATTGATTTGATTGAGTTCACCAGAAGGAGACCTAAAGGTCAACATGATGACCTATCATCCATCCACATCTGCAGACTGACCCATTCTCCTCAAGCGTTGAGTGTGTGCTTTACTGAGTCTAGCAAAGGAACCTAAACGGCCTCCTCATTAGCTCCCGGCATGGGGTGTGCGGCCTCCCGCGGCTCTCTGCATCCTCAGACACAGTAATCCTGTCTTATTTCATGCGTCTTTGGCCTGCCTTCTGACCTCTACCATCTCTGCCTGCTTGCTTGTATTTTTCAGAGGCGGCTGAATGTGTTTGCAGACAGAAAGCCAGTTCTTCTGGTGGTTAGCAGCTATTGACACTATCCATGTGTCTGTCTAAGACATGTAGATTTTGGCTTTCAGTGACTGTGTGTTTATGGGTGTGTATGTGTGTGTGTTTGTCCTTGAGTGGGGAATGACCATCACAGTGCAGTGTTTGGGGAAGCGTCGGTAGCTGTATGTGTGTGTTTAACTGGAATTGTGTGTGTGTGTGTGTGTGTGTGTTTGTGATTGCAGAGTGCAGCAGCAGCTCCGAGTCCTATCCTTGGAAACATGCCCACAGGAGAGGGGATGCCGGTCGGCCCCGTTCCTCCGGGCTTCTTTCAGGTACACACACATGCACATGCATAGCCAATATATGAAGTAAAAAGAAGAAAAAAAACTATTAGACTGCATTCTGTGTACTACTGTATACTTTTTACTATGGATGGTCAAGTTGACTACATTGAATTGTGGGAATATGCTTCCATTAAGTTTTTGAGGTTGTATACTGCAAAGTTGCTCACAGATAATGTGTGTGTGTGTGTGTGTGTGCGTTCGTGTGTGTGTGTTTTGAGTGACACAATAATATTTCTCTAATAATATTCAAATAATTATATATATACATTTTATAAATTAAAATATATATACATTTTTATAACATCTCTAATATATTTGTTTATATTAAATTTTTTTATTATAAATTAAATGTTGAAATAAATTACATATACATAATATTTATATATTCATTTTGAAATGTTGATCACGTCACATTGTGGGAATTGTCACAGATTCATAGTATACATAATGTATGGGTAGTGTGGTATTTGTGAACATAACCGTAGTCTGTATAAAATGTATATTTTATTGACAGAAAATTAGGTGTATTTGAGTAGTTGATGTGAAATTATTTTAAATAGCATTTCTGCATAATTCTTTTGTATAATTTGTATCTCATTCTTTTTATATAGAAATTATTTATGAAACCTCATATTAATGCTGAACTGCAAAAATGTTGAAAAATATAAAAGAAATAGTGACCAGTCCCAGAATCTAAAAGATATATTTTCTATTATACATCAATTTAATTTTTAAACTCCAATTTATTGTTGAAAATAATTGAAATAAAATTATAATGTATAATAATAATAATAATAATCAACATCAAGGTATTAGAAATAAAATAATTTATATTAATGGATTAATATAATCATTTTCTTTTCAAATTAAAACGTAATAATTTAGATGTTTTGGTTATTTAAAACTTGATATTACTATATAATGAAAAATGTTTTGTCTTTTATGTTTCTTTTACAAAGGGCATAAAACTTCATGTCCATTATGTGTAACTAAACATTTGAACATGATATAATCTTTCTATAAGCTCATACAGTCATAAACTAACCCTGTGTGAATTTGAACCTGTTTTTTGTTTTCTGGTAGTTTGCATGCGAGTTGAATAGCACAGGTTTAGAGTGGCTGAAAATAACTCACGTGTGCACACTCACGTCACATCTCTTCAGTCAACTCTTCTTCACTTAGACCTTTGATTTTAACTGGGTCTTGTCCACCTTGATCTTTCACTGGATTTTAGGGCGAAGGTGTTTTTTAATCCTTTTAATTCTGTCTCCGTGAACCATAACAAAGTATTAAAATCCCTCAAACATGAACACAGGGACAGAGACGAAAGAACACGCACCTGTGGCTTATTTCTGAAAGGCTGAGCGGTTTTGCATGCGGTGCGATTGTAAAATAATTGTAAAGTAATTTCAGACAAAATTACTGTGATCTGAATACTTAAAAGAAACGTTTTCTCCTGCACAAGCATGACCTTTGACCTGCGTGACTCCAAATAAAGTGTGGCATGTTTTCATTTTGATCTGGTGTGGCTGTTTGTGCTCTTGAATCACCCGTTTGAAGGAAAGAGGCGATGTGACCCAGATGCAAAGAAAAGTCATTATCAAAGGAGAACGGAAAGATCCTCTAGAGTGTATGTTTACCGCCGCAGTTAGTGTAACTCAACACCTGTGTTGACATATGAGGTATTGCTTTAGAAAAAGAGTTGAAAAATGAGGCAGATCGGCCCCGTCAGCTTAAAGAGCGCTCATAAATCAGCCGTCTTTGTGCGTAACGTCACTATCCTAAGGAGCTGTGGTATTTGACACCCAGTGTGTTGTAATTGGTTTGATTAAGAGCGACAGGATTCCAGCAGCCTGACTGACTGAAGCAGATCTCCAAGCTTGGGGTGGGGGGTGCAGGAATCCCCTGCCGATCGCTAATGGTGCTCGTCTAATAGAACGATAAGCTAAGAAGATCAAATCATCTTTCTTAAGTGGCTCAACAAAGGCTCATCTGCCTCCTGCGGTTTCTGACGGGAACAGTCTTTCTTGGTTATCAACATTTGAATTTGCTGCGTGTATACAGTCGCAGGGTTAACTAAAACTATAGAAAAAAGGGAATTCGTTATTTTAAATAAAATAAAATAAAATAAACGTTACCTGAAATAAAATAGATAAAAAAAAACGTAAACTTATTTTATTTCAGATAGATGCCAGGCCAATTGCATATATACATTTCTGTATAATTCCTTTGTATTATTTGTATCGAATTCTTGGATAATTTTTATATGTATTATTTATGAAACCAATGAAATGCAAAAAAAATTTGAAAAATATAAAAGAAAGTTTTGATTTTGCACCGTGTAGTTGCATGATTGTCGCAAGGTTATTATTGTTAACTAAAATATAAAACTAAAAATAAATAACCATTTGTTACTTATATTAAAATGAAAGTTAACTGAAATAAAGTTTTGTATTTTACTTGTTTTATTTCAGCTAGTTGTCTATTTATGTAAAAAAATATTTAAAAAAACATTTGATATTTGCTCTGTATTCACAGTTGCAAGATTGTTGCAGTTAACTAAATAAAAAAAAGTTACTTAAAATAAATGTTAACTGCAATAAAATAAAATATATACAAATTAATTTATTTTATTTAAGCTAGTTATGAATGTTATGTATAATTCTTTCATATTTTTTGTATCAAATTCTTGCAAAAAATGTTTAAGAACGTTGAAAAAAATATAAAAGAAACATTTCATTTTGCTCTGTGTACACCATTGCAATTGTTTCAGGGTTGTTATTATTGGTAAAACAAAAACAAAAAAAACTTTTTGTTACTTAAAAGTTAACTGAAATAAAATAAATTATATAGAAACTTAAACTTATTTTATTTTATTTCAGCTAGTTGCCAAGCAAATTGCATATATACTTTACTTTTATGTATAATTCTTTTGTAGTATTTATCAAACATATTGCAAAAAAAAAAACTGTTTTAAAATGTTGAAAAAAATTATTGTATGATTGTCACAGGGTTATTATTGTTATCTAAATTTAAAACACAAAAAATAATAATAAAATAATAAGTACTAAAATAATTAAACTACATAATTAAATAAAATAATAATACAGATATATAAAAATTTATAAATACTATATAGGCATATTTGAAAAAAAATGAAACTAATAAACAAAAAGCACTGGAACTTAAACTAAAGTTAAATTGAAAATATAAAATCTAAAGATATAAACAAAAACTATAATAGTATAATCAGTGATACTAATATAACAAAGGATTTTGTATATTAAGGGAATAGTTCACCCCAAAATGGAAATTTTGTTGTCATTTACCCTGTTTGACTTTATTTCTTCTGTGGTACACAAATGAAGATCTATTGCAAAACGTCCAGAGTGTTCTTTTCCATAATAGTAGTGGCTGTCGAGCTAAAAAAAAAAAAACCTTCCACGGAAGAAAGAAAATCATATGGGCTCTGGGACCACACATGCGCGGAACAAGCTGGAGGATGTTGAAGTCGAGATGATTCCGGGGGAACAAGAGCAGAAGAGCAGCAGATGCATTATTAAAGGCACTGCATCCGCATTCCGCTCCATTCCAGCCTCTCATCTTTAACTTTCTCTACACTCCCACTCTCTCCTCTCTAAGAACTGAGGCGTGTCATTTCTCACTCAAATATGCTATTGTCCCCCGAGACGTCCTGGTCCTGCCCTTAAAATGTGTTCTCAAAGCAACACCTAATTACCAGCTGGCCCTCGCCCTCCAGTGCCCCGTGACTGATGGCATGACCTAATGTTACTTTTTCTCTTGGAAACAGTATGTGCATCTCTATTAAAGACGGAATAATATTTATATAATTTTTATTTTATTTTTAATGCCTGAACATGGTGAACATAGTGTAAGAACTATATGGTGAAATATAAATGATCCATTATTGTCATTTGTAGTCAAGCAAAGGATGCTATATTTGTGTGAACATCATTGTAGCTCAGCAGTAACGATTAGCTACAGCTTGCAACGAATAGCGGTGTAGTGTGCCAAAATATTAGGCTAATTTTAAGAGGTATGAATGAGATAGTAAACATACTTTACAAAAATGTCATCTCACTTTCTCTCATACAGTGGGTTTGGAAGTCATTTATTGTGGTAAAATAGTTTATTTTAGTAAATTTGGTTCATTCAGAATGAATGAAAAAATTTACTCATTGATTCTGCAAAGGGACTGTAAAGATTGATTCTCTTAATTCATCAATTTTTATATATATATATATATATATATATATATATGTGTGTGTGTGTGTATATACAGTATATATATATATATAGAATATATATATATATAGAATATATATATATATAGAATATATATATATATAGAATATATATATATATAGAATATATATATATATAGAATATATATATATATAGAATATATATATATATAGAATATATATATATATAGAATATATATATATATAGAATATATATATATATAGAATATATATATATATAGAATATATATATATATAGAATATATATATATATAGAATATATATATATATAGAATATATATATATATAGAATATATATATATATAGAATATATATATATATAGAATATATATATATATAGAATATATATATATATAGAATATATATATATATAGAATATATATATATATAGAATATATATATATATATGTGTGTATATATATATATATATATATATATATATAGTGTGTGTGTGTATGTATAGCTTCTCTGCCTTAGATTCAACCAGAATATTTTTGCATATATAGCGAAAATCATTAAAAAATAAAAAATAATGTAAACAAATATATATATATATATATATATAATGCGATTAATCATTTGACAGCACTAATTTATATCAATATTTTTAGTTAACATAATATATAATATGTTGATTTAATTAAAAAATGTGGATAACTGAAATTAAATGTATTATATTACATTAAAATGCATGATATACTT